AGTAAAATGTAGCAACACACAAAGGACAAAGTAAAATAGAAGAAAGGAATTCCTCATGGTAAAAAAGTAGTTGTCTTTCTCCATTCATATATAATTAGGTGCTATTACTAAAACTTCCAGAGTACTTCAAACTGTTTAAGAATGTAAACTGTGAGTATGCCTCATGATAATGAGTAATCATTTGTGGAATACTTACCATGTGACATGCTCTTCTAAGATCTTCACATTGGTTAAATCATCTCATCCTTTCACGAATTCCTCCTTCTTCCCTTCCTCTGGAAACAATGAAACCCTTCTATTTCATCTTTTTGGTATCTGTTCTTATTTCATAGGATCTAGAAACTGAAAAATTATATTTTAGAGACAGAATCTTTTTATAGGAATTTTTTTCACTGCCCAGTGAGTCCCATGGCACTTGGGGGTCTGCAATTGCCTTTTTCATTTTCTGTGGAAAACCATGGCTTCCTGGTTGCAGCACCATTCCAGTGCCTACCCTGAGCTTCATGCATGCCCCAGAGGTCTCCCAGCACCCGTCCTCTGACTGGTGTGAAGACTGTGCCCTCATGGTGGGTCAGGCCCATGGTGTGGCTCTTAGTGTGATCTGTGAGATCAAGATCAGTCTTTCCAGCACTGTGACAATCTCTTCATCCTATTACTTATGTGCTTGCTGAAATCCAGTAGGTTCTATTTCCACAAGTGAATATTGACCTTATATACTTAGCACCCATAACTACGTTTTTATTACTTGGAGAGAAGTAACTTTAAACTTTATTTTCCTATATTTTTTTCAGGTAGGACTAATGGATTTATTTACTATTGAGAATATGCTCAAAATCTGTTCATCTTTTTAAAAACTATAACTTTGGCTTTGGTAAAATGATAACATTACTTATACAGAACATACATTTTCATTAATATAAAGGAGCCCAAGTGTGGAGGTGAATACATGCATTTGGAAGACGGAGGCAGGAGGATTGCCACCATTCAAAGTTAGCCTAGAGTACATTGTGAGTTCAAGACCAGCCTGAACTACATAGCAAGGCCCTTTCTCAACCCCCCACCTCAAAAACTTAATATAAAGGAAAATTAAACAAATCTTTGAGTCATTTTTGGATAATTTAGGGGGACCTAATTCATGAACAAATAAGAGGAAGGTTGAGAGGCTAATAAAATAAAAAAGAAAATAAAGAATATAATTATAACAACATAAAACTGTCTTCAGGGCAAAGAACACATGTAAGAAAACGACAGGCATGAGGAAATGAAGCAGAGACAAACATGTCTCATAGTCAGATGTGCACTCTTAAATTAGTTTTACCAGATCAAAAAAGAACTTGCAGAATGCCTTTATATTATCATTTCAGGAATATAATTTTTAAATAAATGTACTTTTATCATGTGACTGTACGGGAAGTCCATCTTCAAGATTGCTAGTATTTACAAACACACTCCTCAGTTGACTTTAATTTAAATTCAAATATGCTCCTATGTATTTCAGCATGGACACATGTATCATGTGATAGAAATTTTTTTGAGCTCAAGTTAAATATGTTTCCACAATTTCATTTCAGAGCCCAGTAGAAAAGTCATTGAGTGCTTCAAAACTTCGAGTGACAATCCTTTTGTAATAAAAAAGGTAAAGAAATAGCTATTTGTACCCACTTAGTTTGACTTCCATTATTTCCTGTCTCTTTGAATAGCTTCTTGAAAGTCACTATATTATCATGTTTCATAGTACTGTTACAGCTTTAGCAAGATATAATTATCATGATACAAAAGACACATTCAAAATGAACAATTTGCTGAGTTTTGACAAATACTTATTTTCATCTGGGAAGCTATCACCAAAATCAAGAAAATGCACACATTTACCACTCCTAAAAGTTTCCCTGTGACTCTGATTCTTCTAGAGGCAAAGAGTTATCTACTTTATATTATTAAAGATTAATATGCATTTTTAAAAAATGTTTATACAATAAAAATGCATAACATGTAAAAGGCCTTAGGTTCAATCCCACGTGTCAAAACCAATTTGTTACGGTGCTTAATCAAGGATGGATCTTGCTTACTAACTACAATACTTCTTATTAACTTTGTTCAATTTGAATAGAAAATATAACTGGTAACAAATGTGTATTAATTATATAATACCTTTGATTTAGGAAGAGTGTAAGACCAAGAAGCTGCCATCACCTCCAAAGGCAAGCTCTGCAGCTGGCTCCTCCTCTTCAGAGGAG